ATTTGAGTTGGGTGTGACATATATGACTATGTAAGAAAAATAACTTTAAAAATCAAATATCAAAAATACTATATAACAATACTGACCATTTATAAAACATACAACAATAATGTACTACACACTCATACAATACAATATGAAACATTTTGCTCTGGTACTGCAAATGAAATGACAGCAATTGTATTCCATGACATTTAAAGTGGACCTTCATAATATCAAAAGTCTTAGATCTAGATGGTAAGAGAAGGCATTCTATGCTTCTAAACACACTTGGGTTGCAAAACAGTTTTGAAAATGAACAACTGTTTAATATATTGACATGCTACTCTATTTTTTGGCATATATGTAAGATTTACAAAAAACTTTCTGCATACTATGCACCACCGATTAATTTTTGGGCCATCCTAGGCATGCCACAAATTGTATTACAAAAAGTGGGATATAGTGAGATTAACATGTGATATCTGGGGCCTATTTTCTTTATTTCATAGGTTCTAAAAAATAATTTATTAGAACAACTGCAGAATGAGTGTCCTTTAGAGGGACCCTTCTTTCATCTATATTTGACATTGTACAAAAAATAGTAGGGTCATACCCATAAAGAACATAATAAAAATATACAAGTCTGTTCATCTGCATTGAGCATGCTGCAAATTTCAAATACAAGGAGCAAAAATACACGAAGATGAACTACTGTATGAAAATTGCTGCCACCACATAGCATAGCAGATGCTCCCTTAAGTACATAGGATACTGTATATTGTTATAGTATACTGGTGCCTGTTATAAACTACACATAGGTAAACTGCAGAAAATATTATTCTCCTGAAATAGGTTTGCAATTAAGATGCATTATAAACAAAGATGTGTCCTATATGCCAAAAAATAGGTAATTTAAACAAGATATATTTTTATAAAAATGAGTGAAAATTTACTGAAACATGTTAAACATGTGATAGTGAGCCTTAAAAAAATTAAAGAATACACAAAAAATTAATGAAATATCCAAAACAATGAAAGAAACACTAACCAGTGATATTTGGAATCAACAATGCACACAAAACTGTGAATTCATTTTGGTTTAACTCTTTAGAAAAAGTATCTAATCTGTTTCCAAACAACATGGATTAGTGTTTCCCCTATTGTTATAATTATGTCTCATTTCAAACTCATGTTATAATTATGTCTCATTTTCAAACAATGCATGTTTTTTTTTTTATTATGAGGAATTAATTGCAAGCACTTACAACTGCTTTACAAAAAAGGTGATACCATAAAGCTACCTTTAACTTGCAGCAACAAGTATTTGTGCAACCAAATTTTTCCAAACAAAACAAAACGGATTTTCGAACTATACATGTTTTAAAATATCCTCATTTCAAGTCATTACCTAAAAACATGTTCAATCAAAAATTATAAACTTAAATCCTTACAAGAATGATCAAAATCTGTTTTTTTTAGTTAATTTGCCTTTTTCTATTCCACAAGAGAATAGCCACAGAATGTTGTGAAATCAATATACATATTGATAAATGCTGATTGCAACAACTCTCCCAAATTCAACCTCTAAAATAAAACTAACTGACTGAGAATTATTTGATTCAAAATTAACCAAGGTCTATAAACTATGTCACTTGAAACCTGGTAGTAAGTATGCATATCTGCCAATAAAAAAACCCAATGATAACCCCACCTACTATACATCACCCAAACTCTTGAAAAATCACTTTGGTATTCCATACAAACCTCCTTGCATGGTTAGACTTGTTAGTTATGTAAACAATTATAATATAAAAGAGATTTATACTGACTGAAAGTTCCCATCATCTCTAGGAGTGCCATTAACAAAGCACTTGAAGATGATGTGTTCAATCATATCCTACTACACTTGACTCATAAAAGCTTTGGTAATTATTCCTTACAAATTTCATCTACTGGTAGCTTAGTTAGTGATTTAGATTTACAATAGACAATAAAATAATGTTTTGTGAACAGAAAAATTAATAAATAGGTTTAATACAAATGTAAATGATATATCCGGCAAAATTAATACCATTTTACAATTCAGTATATATTCTATATTGGTTTTCAAGTTGAAAACTTTAACTGGTACAAGATTGTTCCTTTTTAACTACTAATCAGTATTTGTGCCATTCTAGCTGAAATAAATAAAACTGTGCTTCACCGTTTTAATTTTTGTTGACATCTATTATTGTTTTTGGTCCCTATACTATATATGTGTTATCCTGGAATGCAATATACACTCTGTAATATGTTAAACATATTTATGACTATGACTGGTAATGAAGCTGACAAACTCGAAGTGCAGGTTCAATCTACAGCAGGAAGCACAGCTATGACATAAAAATTATATAAATAAAAAACAATGCTTAAAATGACCACACCTAGAACCCTTTATATTTCCAAATATAACTCATATATTACAAATTTTCTATTTGTTCTAGAGGTACAGCCTAAACTATCAGTGAACACAGAGTAATCAATATTTTTTAAGGGATAAAGTCCTAAACATGATCCTTATTGACTTATTCATGAACTGAAAAATATAATTATAAAATACTCATATAGATCCAAGAACTATACATGTACCCTTCTGCTGATAATGTTCACTGAAATATATCCTACTTCTTGCCTAAAATATAAAAAATATTTTGAGTTGAGCAACCTCAAACATGTTGCAAAAAATATTCAAGTAGCATCTTTGTATAGCTATTGGGACCCAAATAGGCTCCTAATCTATCTGTGTTACTTCATTACAAATTATGTAGAAATAAACAGGATATTCTGCAAGCTGTTAAAGTTTTTTAAGGTCTTCCTGCCATAACATGTCAATGAAAACTATAAATGAAAAGACTTTGCAACCTGGCTTTCTTGTTTCTTGTAATGAGAAACATAAAGAAAGAAAATTTCTTTTTGGTCCACTAAAATCCTGTGACACACAGGCTTTAATCTCAAAATGAAAGAATCGGCAAATACACTAAAAATCATGACCAGAAAATCACTATGATGATACCTATCATAAAACTCACTCAGAAAATAGTTTATGATTTGCTACTATAAAAATTCTACATATGAAATGCCTAAATACAGTTCAATCTCCCTATTGCTAATTCACACAAAAACTTAAGAAGATCAAAACTCATCATGTGTGTATTCAAAGTCATCACCATCGTCGTAGTCTTCGTAGTCTTCACCTGGCCAGGATCCCCAGAAATCTGATGAACAAGCTCCAAACAATCCTTCACCTCTGCAAACATAATCACATCGTCAAGACTGAATAATGGCTCTAATCATGCCTGTATATTCACCAACATATATAAAGGTTGAACACAAACAAAAACACAGAAATATGTACAAAATGATAAAAGGAAACAGCACCATAGGAAATGAAATTGAATGTAACTTTGCAAACTTATCCAGAGTTCCTAATTAGACTAACAAATAACTTTTTATGTAAAACAGTCTCTCATATAAAAGACTATTTATTCTAGTACCACAGTATTACAATTCATGTACCTAATTATCCACCATGAGTATTTTCAATCAGGAATCATAGCATATGACAAATATGTAAAAACTACAACTACAACAACAACAACAACAACACAATACTGCACTTACTTGCACAAATAATCTTCAAGAGAATTTTCACTTGCCCAGAGTTTATACAGCACTTTTTCATCTGAAACTTCAGCTAACAACTCATCACATAAATCCTGGAGTCTGAAAAGATTATATACAAGGTCAGTATGACAATATATTACATAAATTCTGTTTCAGCAATGTCACACTCTCTCTCTCTCTCTATTTCTTGTGTTAAAAGAGAAAGTATGAAACAGGAAAATCATTACTTCATCACTTGTGGTTGTAATTCCCTTTGCCTATCGAAATACAATTACATGTGGAAAACCAATTGTGTTTGAAAAAAGAATTTCATTCTTTAATACAGCAATTATCATGATAAAGATTGTTGTACTAAGTCACCAATGAGCCAATTACAAGTACTGCCTGTCTCGCCCGTTTCCCCTTTTCATCGATTTACGAAAATATTTGATGTTATCTTAATTTGCTGTTAAAAATAACACCATCTACATTTAAAGCACTAGTAAGAATACGTTTTTTCCCGCCAATTCAAGGAAAGGTGAAATCAGGACTAGCAGAGCCATCTATCTACAGAGACATTTCACAAAAACATAAAAAATGAGTACAGCATTTTCCCTATCTTTATTAATTTTCCCTGGCGGCAATGGGTTAAAAAACTAAAATTATGTGAAACACAATATTCTAAGACCTTGGAAATGGACAATGTAGCCTGTGGCTCTTTCTTCAATATAAAATAATAGTTACTGCTCGGTTAGTACCTTCTTGACCAAAGGCCCTCATCCTCCTCTGCTTCATCTTGATGAACATCATAATTCGTACCAGGACCTGCCAGTCGCTCTTCATCATTCACTTTAATGCTCCCATACCTGGAAAACAAATAATATGACAACGTGTTCCTTCCCTTTTTTCAGTTTATGTAAAACACAACAGGTATTTTTAGCATTATTTAAGTATCTGAATTATAATTACAATTCACTTTTATCATTTAATATTCTATATTCATATCTAATAAACAACACTCTTCAATAAACAAACACACACAGGCACATGCACATACACTTATAACTAAACCCCTACATGTGCATGCAAATATGTATGTTTTTCATTTCAAATTTACTGATCTGAGACCAAATCAAGGGTCTCTCTTAGCACAGTTTAATCTTATTTTCAACTTCTTTGATTCCAGTAACATGGTCTGAATCTTATTGCTATGTAACCATGAACAAAACACCCTACCAACCCTTGCCACAGATCATCACACGTTCCTTCCGCAGCCTCAATAATCTCTTCATCCTTAAGAGATATAGCCCTGCTCATGTCACCTTGTGCTTTAGAAAAACTCTCTTCAAACTGGAAAGAAGCATATGTGATTAGAC